CCAACCTCAGGTTGGTAACTGATGTGTTTTGTTCTCGGCATCCTGTCAATATTAGTGCCGTATTGATTAAATAAATCCATATTTGACCTTAAATGATAACGAACACTAATAGGCTCAACATCGGAAATCTCTATGTCCTCTGGAATATCGGGGTTGGTAGGACGCAAAGCCTTCTCGGCGTCAGCCAGAAACTTATGACGGTAATAAGCTTCTCTTTTTTCTACAGAAGTTAAGGGTGTGCAGAGTTCAGCCTCATTGGCTTTACCCATATTTGCATGCATTCCAGAACCAGACATTCACAAATAATGAAATAAACGCAAAATCTACTTAACCACAAACTAGTGAGAAATCGAAAAGAAAGTTAGGGTTTTTTTACCTCTTTTTGAACTCAACTCTTGAAAGCGTAACTCAGGAATTAAGTGTCCTCCATTTACAAACACCGGTCACAACACAACTGAACAAACCTTTGACAAATCGACCCCTGAATCGCAGAAATATGTGCGTATTACAAGCGAAATGAAGTAGAAATTTTTCGAAATTTTTTCGCAATGGAAATGAAGGGTCAAAAGTACGAAATTCACTATTTATACTGTCCAAATGAAGCGGTTGATGTGACATTTACTGCATGTAATCCAAAGGCTGTAATAAAACGCCTTTGAAAAACACCCTACTTCGATGACTGACACGTGCCCCATTACTTTATTACAATTTCCCGCCAAATCCAGGGGAATAAATTTTCAAACAAGTGTGAAATCGTTTTAACTCCTACTTTCGGTTTTAGCATTTAATTGAGCAAAGTCCTATCGGCAATTTGCTCACTTGGGGGGCAAATTGTAGATTTTTTCGTCTTAAATTGAGCAAAGTCCTATCGGAAATTTGCTCACTTGGGGGGCAAATCGTAGATTTTTTTGTTTTCTGATCGTTCTTGTATGATATATTGTGTATTATTGCCATGTTCCATAACAAGCGAGCACGTCAGTTTTACTAACGTCCTCACTTCGGGGCTAGTTGTACGGGATATACCGGTAGCTTCTATAATATGCCGGTAAAAGAGTGTCATGTAGTTTAAAGCCCTCGTTAATCATGGAATAATTCATGTCCTTACCGGCATAAGTCTCCACCACGTGGAGAGCTGCTTCTCGGAACGTGGCATATCCCTCTGACACGTGGAGAGTTGCTTGGTACCGCGTAGGCACCTGCTATTTACAAGGTCGGTGTGCCACCTATCTGTATAGGTGGCACCTGCCTGGTTGTGTTCCTATAAATACCCAAGCAAATCCTCATTTCAAAGGTAGAATCTCTCTCTCTCTCTCTCTAAAACACTTTCTCTCTCTTCTTTCACTTTCTTCACACAAAGGTACTGGCTTTAGCATCGGAGTGGTTATTCCCGGATAACCCCAGGGCTAGCTAATCTGTATTGGCTGTGTAGGTGAGTAATTGGACGGTAAACCATTACCAGCCCTCAGACATTAACGGAAGCAGAATCCAGCAGGAACAAAGGTAAGCAGTGGAAAGTTCAAATAACTTTTGCTAAATGTTAATTAAGGCTACTAAAGTTTAAGTTTTGAGTGTGAGATAGCTCAAGTGGTTAGGGCTCCCTTTTCGATTCTAGGTGATTTTCGATTCTCATCACTTACTCTTGTGGTTCTCTAAACACCAAAAAAAAAGTTTAATTTTTAATTAAAATAAGGGCATGTTTTGATATATTGAACTAAGTTAAACTGAACTGAACCGAACTGATTGGAGCTGAACTGAATTGAACTAAACTAAATTGAGCTGAATTGAACTTAGTTGAACTAAATTGTTTATGAGGGAAGGAAATTAGGAACTGAACTGAACAGAACTGATTGGAGCTGAACTGAAATGAACTGAAATTAAGCTGAATAGAACAGGCCCTAAGTTTTAATAATACATGCGTGTAAGTTTAAATAAGTAAAAACCAAGTGAAATGAAACAACTTTTTCCTTTAGCAACCCATTATAATGAAATCAATTATTTAAAGGGTTTTTTTTTATAAAATAACTAAATTAAAAATTTGTGTGTAATTTTTACTTTCACATTTATTGAACTGAGCTGAATTGAACTGAACTGATTGGAGTTGAACTGAACTAAACTGAATAGAGCTGAAATGAATGTTTTATGAGAGAAGGAAATTAGGAGCTGAATTTAACTGAACTGAAATTAAGCTGAAGTAAACATGCCCTAAATATCTTTAATTTTGTTTTTAAAGAAGTTCAAAAGGACACTAAATTTCATTAATCAAAGTCATACGACATCTAAAATTGATAAATAATGATAATGAAAACAAATTCAACAAAACTAACCAAGAATTAATCGGAGAAGTGCTAAGAATCCAAATACATATAGATATAATAATTCGGCATATTCTCGACTTGTTGTCTCATTTACAACTTTTTGAGTGGATTCGTCGATGCTTCAATATTCTATGAGGAAGAAGTTTCTTGTGATGATTTTATAACCCGATTTCGAGCAATAATCAATCGTAGCCCTATAAAACTGAAGACTCTATCAAACGCAAATACCTTGTTTTTGAAGGAGTTCAAAATATCTTTTCTTTTGAAAGAGATCGAAAAAATCTTGTCTTTCAAAGGAGATAAACCCTTTCTTTCAAGGGAGACATTATTATAACCTAAGAATTTAAAAAACTAAAAATAAACAATGATTAGGGATTTCCACCAATGAAATATGTTGGAAGTCCCTTCACAATTTACAATGAAGGCTAAAGTTTGGGACAGAGAAGAGAAAGAAAGGAGGCAAATGTCTTTAATTTTGTTATTAAATATATTTATATAAATTTGATAGCATTTTAGTTGATATATTTTTATTTAAAAATCATATCAAATATAATATATTACTAGTTTTGTGGCCAGGCGATGCCTAGATTGATGATAAAATTTTAGGATAATGTAAAATATAGTCATCTAATCCCTTTTGATAATCCATGATATTACAATATCATATAACAGTGTAATTTTTGTAGTTTTGTTTGTAAGTAGATATCTACGTTGATGCTCGAATTGTTGATAAAATTTAAGGATAAACTTTTTGGCTTGAATGTTCATTAATACGATCATGTAATCTCTTTTGATAATACAAGATATTTAGACTTACGTATTATATCGCTTATTTATAAAAATTATGTAATTTTTAGTTTTGTTTGTAAATAGATATCTATGTTATTATGGACTTGAAATTATTGCTATTGAATTTAAATTATTTTTACTGAAATGAAATTATTTATTTCAAACCAAAATTATTTTTATAGATTACAACTTATTTTTACTAACTCTCTAATATTTTTTAATTAAATTAAATAACAATGTATTTTGTATGCGGATAACCACACCATTTGGCTGGACAAAGTAACCCCTATATATAAAACTGATCGAGTAACCCCTGTAATAATAACTAAATAACCTCTAACACCGACTAAGTAACCCCTATCTATAACATGATTGAGTAAACACTATAACACTAACCAAGTAACCTATATAACACTACAGAAGTAACTCTGATATTGTAATAGTTGGTGACACGATTTGGCCAGCTACATATAAAAGTTTGTGATTAAATATATTATAAATGAATCTTATTTAATAAAGAACTTCTTAAAACGAATTTGATGATGAAAATAGAATTGAGTTATAGACTTATAAGATATTTATTAAAAGTTATGATTAATTTTGTATATATGAAATATTAAAATTTTATTGATAATAAAACTTTATGTAACAATTTTATCTTAAAAATTCTATCTAATTAAAACTCGCTTACTTAGCATCATATGTGTCACAATAATATCTATTTATTCCCTACGTGGAGCGACACTTGGTGAAAAAAATGGAATGCCAAGTGTTGGTGTCTCATGGCCTGGATGCGAGACCTACTTTATTTATTAGTGATATGATATGATATACATAAAGGATAATTTTTTCCTGAGTTTTTAGAGAGCTACATAGGATTAAATTTTTTTAAAGCGCCATGTATGACTATAAATGTTAGGTATAACCAATTAAATAATAGATTTGTAAATTCTTTTAGAATTAAATAATTCAAATGACACATAAGCAAAATTAGCGAATGAGATTTTAAATTTTAAATTAGTTATTTCAAATAAAATATTATTAATTGATATACTATGTACAACATGCATCGTTTTGGCTTCATCTAGTTATACCAATTAATGCGGAATGTAAAAAAAAGTCAAATTAATTTTCACGAAATGTCTTTAATTATGTTATTAAATTTATTTATATAAATCCAATAACATTTTAGTTGATATGTTTCTATTTAAAAATTAGATCAAATTATACCAAATGCGGAGTCAAATAAAATATAAAAATTAAACTATACCGGATTAGAAAATTTTACATTAGACTAGGCATAACATTTTGTATGTGTCTGGATACATTATATATACACTTGTAATATTCATGTTTTGCGTTTTGTGTGTGTTTTATTTACCCAATTCTCACTGATTTGAACTTATCTGAACTTACCTGAACTTATTAAAAGTTTAAAACTTATTTTAGTTGTAATTATACTTGGGTTACCATTACATTTGAAATAAGTGAAAATAAAGTAAACAGAATAGACCCAAAATAACCCTAAAATGGCCGACTACGTTGTGTAGCCAGCCACAAATTTTTCTTGGTGTGACCAGATTAGAGAAATTCAAATCTAATTTGATCTTATAAATTGAATACTATCATATTATCTAAGTAGTAATTTCTTGTAAAAAAAAATAGTAATTTTCATGTAATTTTATTACTTTCTCTCTCTATTTTTTTACAAACCTCATGTAAATTTATCTTTTCAATATACTTTTACTTCTTTTTATTTAACTTTCATAATACGCGGTAATCAACCCAAATATATCGTTCTTTCGGAGACAGAGGGAGTATTTAGTTACTGTACTTTAAAAATAATATCCAACACGCTCTATACAAATAGGAAATGGGGTACATTAATTTTTTTTTTAAACCAAATGGGGTACATTAATAAAACAAAGAGCAAGTAATTTTCAAGAATCCAACGTTAATTAAATTATAGTGATAAAAATTGTAAACTACGGAAAGAGCCTATATTGATAGTTTCCGCCATCTTCAAAGTATTTCAAAACAATCTCTGTCAATTCTTGATACTTTCTGTTTCCCTCTTTTGTCACCACTCACCACATTCTCTTCCCTCTCCTCCTCTACGCCAACCGCCCCACCAACTTCCTCACTTTCACACTCTCTCTCCTCCGAGCTCTCAACAATGGCGGAAGATTCAGAAAAAATGGTGTACCTCCACGGAGATCTCGACCTCACAATCCACGAAGCTCGCGACTTACCCAACATGGACATCACCTCCGAACGCCTCCGTCTCTGCTTCACTGCCTGCAACACTTGCTGTTCCACCCCCCGAGACGACCACCTTCCTCCAAAGAATTCCAAGAATCAACATCGACATCGGCCTCACATCATCACTAGCGACCCTTACGTCGCCGTTGTAGTCCCTCAAGCCACGATTGCGCGTACCCGAGTTCTCAAAAACTCGCAGGATCCTGAGTGGAACGAGCATTTCATCATACCTATTGCGCACCCAATAACTAATATCGAGTTCCAGGTTAAAGACGACGACGTTTTCGGGGCTCAGGTTATTGGAATTTTCTCGCTTCCTGCTTCCAGGCTTTTATCAGAGGAACATATTAAAGGGTGGCAGCCAATTTACTCTCCTTCGACTGGGAAACCGCCGAAACCGGAATCGGCAATTCGAATCGATCTGAAATATACTCCTTGTGAGAGGATTCCAGATCTTAATGTTACTCTGAATGGGGTGAAATCGACTTATTTTCCGTTGAGAAAGGGGAGTTTGGTGAAATTGTATCAAGATTCTCACGGGAAACCTGATTATTTGCCAGAAATTAAGTTAGATGGTGGTGAAATTTATAAACAGAATACTTGTTGGGAAGATATATGTTATGCTATTTGTGAAGCTCATCATATGATTTATATAGTTGGTTGGTCTGTATTTCATAAAGTTAAGTTAGTGAGAGAACCCACTAAGCCATTGCCAAGAGGAGGTGATCTTATACTTGGGGATTTGTTGAAGTATAAGTCTGAAGAAGGTGTTAGGGTTTTGTTGCTTGTTTGGGATGATAAGACTTCTCATAACAAGTATTTCATCAACACGGTATTTTCCTTTTTTTTTTTTTTTGTCTTTGATGATTTTATGGTGTTTGATTTTGCATTTTTATTATGTGAATGGTATCACAGTGTTAAATTTGTAATGGGTTTGTAAATGTGAGTGGGATATTGAGGATTTACTTGGGAGGAGGTCGGGTTAGTATCTAGGTTACGGATTTTTGTGATTGAAGGAGCTGGGATTGGTTAAAAATGGGAGAAAAAGGTTTGTAGATCCAGTTGAGTGGTTAACTTTGTTTAACTTTGATGTGGGTCCTCTCCCTTTCTTTCCATGCTTTTTTTTATGCCTATGTAAAAATTTGTAGTTTTTTTTACATGTATGTCAATGGTGATGAACTTTAATAAAGTGAGTTTTCAGATCAAGTTTGTTTGTTGAGAAGTGATTGAATCTGGGAGTGTTGGGAGCCTAGGAGGAGAAAATTGTTGCAGTAAGGAGATTAAATAATAATGTCCCGGTTTTAATAATTACAAGTTGTAACTAGATTGCAGCTTGTATGTTGGTTTTTTTGGAAAAAGTTTGAGGAATTGACTAGATTGGTGGTCTGGTACTACTAAGATGACTACTTTGTAGGATTGATATAACTTTGAGTGTTGGTGAGATGATGTGGGTGGATTTTTTGGATAGAAGAAGAGTTTGTTGTGGTTGTGCTGGTGATGTGGGGTGTTTGATAATGCGGCTGATTATCCATGTTAATTAGTTTAATTTTAATTTTGGAATTGTCTGAAGTTCTTAACAAAACAAAGATTTCACTTTTTATATGTAATGGAATGATTTAAATTATATTCTATTGTTCTCCTTTGGTTCCCTTCTCTTTGAAAGTCAAAGAGCACAATTTTAAAAGAAACCTGTCATGTTCTAGTGAAGTTTGGAATCAGTTAGTTGATATACTTTAAATCATGGAATTGTCTTAACTATACTTTGATTTCACTTATTCAACTAATGAAATGGATTAAATATTATTCTACTGTTTTCCTTTTTTGGTTACATTACTTAATTAAAAATTAAAGAACATAATGTTATTTAAGGAACCTTTCATACTCAATTGATATGTAATCATATGGAAGATTCTGGTCTTTATTTTTTTTTTTTTTGTAAACTTGTTGTGGAGTGATCAGTTTTGCAATCCAGAATATTTTAGTGAATCAATGTTGGTGCTAGTTGTTTTATTGTAATTGAATGATGCTCCTTCCACTGCTCTTATTTTCACCTAAGCTTCATTTTGTCAAAGTGTTAGGTCAAATAAATGGATGAATAAAAGCTTTTTAGCACTGGTTTTTTTAATGTGCTGGTTGCTGGTTCAAAGATTATGGATATTGCAAAACAATGTTTTGATATCCATTTTGTTTTCTGGTATGTGTTGTTGGCTGTAGGAAGGGGTTATGCAAACACACGATGAGGAAACACGGAAGTTTTTCAAGCATTCTTCAGTTAATTGCGTTTTATCACCTCGTTATGGCAGCAGTAAACTTGGCTACTTCAAGCAACAGGTACTCTTTGATTTGTGAGGCTGAGGCATTTACCACATGTGCTTATTCCGATGTGATTAGTTTTTGACTTCTTTGATCTTTTTTACTTCCATCTTTTTTTTTTATTCTTTATTTATTCCTTGTTACTTTTTATGGAAAGAAAGTGTAAGGAAGGCCCCTGGCATAGGCCTTTAATTATTTTTTTTCCTTGGCTTTACGCCTTTACAACCTTAAGATTTTGTCTTCCTTGATTTTCTGTTTATATATATATATATATATATATATATATATATATATATATATATATATATATATATAGGACCGAGTTATAATGAGAACCAAGGCTATAATAAAAACTAGAAACTAATCTAGGCCCTTAGATCATGTTTATCGCACGGTCAACATGCTTCCCGTGTCATTAATGACATTTTCGTAATATTTCAACTTTACAAACTGATTTCCAATTTCATTTCTAAAAAGTAAATGAAAAGTTAGTAAAAGTAAATTAAATGAGCCATAAAGTTAATGAAATTGTCTTAAATAAAAGTTAAAAAACTGGAAAAAAGTTTAAAAATTCGCGAAATTACGAAAATGTCATTAATGAATGCGGGAGAGATGTAAGCCGTCGAATGTAGGGTGATTAAAGGATGATATTGGTTCCTAGTTCCTATTATTCACATTGGTTCTCACATGATCTCAATTATATATACACACACACATACACACACACACATGTGTGTGTGTGTGTGTATATGTATACATATATGTACATATGCGCGCGCGCGCACACAGAGATATATAGATATACTCCCTCCGTGTTTTTTTTAAGTGTTACACTTTTACCGGCACATAGTTTTAGGCAATTTAATTGAATTAAATAAAATAAGAGGTAAGTGGGGTAGTTGGAGTATTAAAAAATTGTAAAAGAAAGATAGTAGGGTTAATAGTTTATTGAAAAGTAATGAATGTGATAGGAAATATATAATAAAAAAGTAGTAGTGTGTTTGGGTGGGAACCATGAGAGGAGAGAGATATAATATTTTAATGTAGCTTTTTGCCAAAACAAGGAAGTGTAACACTTAAAAAAACACGGCTGGAAATGGGAAGTGTAACACTTAAAAAAACACGGGGGGAGTATATTCTTTACTCTCACAGCATTCTTGAGCAGGAGGGTGGTTAAGAATCATACTTTGTCTTAGAGGTTATTGGCCCGAATAAGAACATACGCTTAAAACAATGGGGAGGATGTTTATTTTCTGTTACATCTATGGTATTGGTTTCAATGATTGATCCAAGCATCATAGTATCTTTTGCCTGTATAGAAATTTCAGGCCTTTGTGGATGTGGGCTCTCTTATGAGTTTGCTGTGAGAGTGTATTTATGTTAAGTTATATTTCTGGTGACTTTACATCCTTAGCTGCCAAGTTGATATTTTTGTGTGGTAGTTTGATAACTAGCTGTTTATCACATTCTAGGCTGCTTCAGGGCCTGTCCATGTTGTCATCCGCCACGGCTGCCAATACTTTTATTGGTATATGTGATTTATTGGTATTTGTGATATCTCTGCAGGTTGTTGGAACTTTGTTTACGCATCATCAGAAATGTGTTCTTGTAGATACACAGGCATCTGGTAACAACAGAAAGGTTACCGCTTTCATAGGAGGTATAGATCTGTGTGATGGGCGCTATGACACACCTGAGCACAGACTTTTCCGTGATCTTGACACAGTTTTCAAAGATGATTTTCACAACCCCACATTTCCTGTGAGTATATGATCCCATTTTGCTTTTTGTTGGGAAACATCCTGGTGTTACTTTCTCTTTGTAGAATTCCATCCTAGAATCCAGTACTCTAGCTACTTTGTTAGATTTTTACCATTACTCTTTTCTGCATGTGCATATTTGTTTAGCCCTTTGATCTCTATTATCAATTCGACATCTATACTTATATCAATGATATGTAGTCGTACATCCTTAAAAAAAAAAAAAACCTAGAAATCTAACCCATCCTCCTAATTATGTAGTAGGTTAAGTTATGTGAGAAGTAGTATCAATATTGGATGCCTATAAAATATAATAAGTTGAATCAATAAAAATAAGGTTAAATTAATACTGTATCAAACTTCTATATATATAAAAAAATCAAATAATAAATATATCTAGAATTAAGTATCCCAGACTCCCCTGCAAGACAAATTCCTACTCCAACCGATTGATTAGATGTTCACAAGGAGAGCTACGTCTTATTGATACCCTAGATCTAGGGTGCGTTCTATTCACTTGATTTTTACTTATTAGAACCTATCAGATCTTGTTTGAACTTATCTAAACTTATTAGCCCTTATTAGAACTTATTTTAGTTATAAATTGAACTTGGGTAACCCTGATTAACCCTTATATCAACTTATCTTCCTGAACTTATTGAACAATTTACCCTTGTCTGAACTTATTTTTCCTGAAATAGGTGGAAATAAGGTGAACAACACAGGGCTCTATTATGAGTATTTGTGGCTTTCTTAAAATACAATTAAACCTATTTTCATGGAATCATGTAATTCAAAGACAATAAGCCCGACATCCTAACTTCTTAACAATCCATTCTTCTTACTCACATGGAGAAATTCCTGTCTTTAAATAAGATATTTTAATTTGTCTACTCCTCTTGTGATCAAGACGATGGAATAATGGCAATATTAATCATCCTTAATCTAGTATTTGCATACACATAATCAATTAAGCATGAATACATAAACATTTAATACAGATTTAAAAGAATAAATCAAGCATCAATCATGGCTAGGACTTAACCAATTTCTAGATTAATAAAGTAATATAAAGAAGAGAGAAAAGAAGAAAAGAAAATTTGATACTTGATTAATACAAATGATGATAAAGTTTTTAATAAAGTATTAGTAGGAGCAGTAGTAGTAGTAATAGTAGTTCTCTTGCTAGTAGTAGTAGTAGTTCTCCAATTAATTGAATTAATTGAAAGTCAACAAAGCTATTTGAATCAATTGGAAGTCAAATTCATTTATATGATTTGATGAATATTATGTGTATAGATCATAGTAAGAGACATTGACTAAAAAATAGGGAAAAAAGAAAAAAAAAAGCATTGATTTTGGAGGAAAAAATAGCGATATGAAGTGACATGTGTCATTTTTGATGCCTGTTTTAGTATTATATATTGATGAGGTTAAATATGCACTTAAATGTGTACAAAGTAGGATTTATCATTAGGTAATCTTCTATTTTCCTACCTGCATTCGTTATTGGAAAATTAATTTGTGGATTTTAACTTTCTTAAGTTCTTTATCATATAGAGAAAATAATTGAAGAGAATGAGTTACTAGATAAGTAAATATTAATCTCACCAGTTCTCTCTGTATGATATGAAAACATTTGAACAACCATTGTTTAGTTAGTTGTTGATTTTTCTAGTTTATGGATTTCATAGGCTGGAACAAGAGCTCCAAGGCAGCCATGGCATGACTTGCATTGCAGAATTGACGGTCCTGCTGCGTATGATGTCCTAATAAATTTTGAGCAGAGGTGGAAAAAGGCTACAAAATTTAGAGAGTTTGGATTTCGGAAGAAGATGTCTCGTTGGCACGATGATTCTTTAATCAAGTTAGATCGTATCTCTTGGATACTTAGCCCTAAGCGTTCATCCAAAGATGATGAGCTTACTGAAGTCCCGAAAGAGGATCCTGAACTATGGGTTTCAAAGGAAGGGCATTCAGAAAATTGGCATGTTCAGGTAATATTTGTAACATTCGTAATATTGTCGACTCCTTTATATGTTATTTCCCTGTCCTTATACGTTATAGTATTCCTGCGTGCTGTTACTTTGTGAACGAATTGTTTGCTTGTTTGGGTTTATTTACAGATATTCCGTTCGATTGACTCGGGATCACTGAGGGGATTCCCTAAAACGGTCTCTCAAGCCAAGTCTCAGGTTAACATCTTTATGTTCTCTCTCGATCTATTTCTGACCAGGATCTTAAGCTATATGCCAAGACTGTCATAATATACTGTGGTACAAATCTTGGTTCTAACTATCAAAGTCTCAAATTCCAAGGCAGTCAGTTTGCCTAAAGAAAAAGAAGCAAGTATTTAAATAAAGTTATCATGTTTAACGATCTGATGGAAAGTCGGTTGCAACTCTTGCAAGTACTTGTAATAGATTAACACTAACAAGGGTAGTTTGGGAATTTTAGTACTTTTAGGTTAGTAGCCCTCATTCCTAACTAAGCCTTAGTAAAAATAAGGGATAGTATATGCATTTGCTATCATGTGAATTATGAGGAAAAATGTTGAGAGTAGTAACCTCAAGTTACTAGGAGAGTGATAACCTAAAGTTATCAAGAGAGTGATAGCCTTAAGCTATTAATTTATTCTTTTGTATCTGATTTCAGCCATTATTAATCAAAGTATCAAGCTTTTATCTCTTAATTAGTCTTTAAATCAGAAAATACTAAGTCAGTCCATAACAATTGGTATCAGAGCAGGCGGTCTTGTGGGCTGCCGTTGATTGGAACCACCAGTCCGTACCACCGCTTAAAAAAAAAATGCAGTTTGCTGGAACAGATGGCGAACGACTCATGAAGAAATGGATTCATGAGGAATTTAAATACATTTCCCTTAAAAGGGAGCAAGGAATTTCAGATCATGTGGAGGAGAAGAGAATCCGGCCGGAGCTTCAAATTCACGAATTTAATGGAAGAAACTCAGATGACTGGATCTTCCAAATGGAGGATTACTTTCATTTTTTTCCAGTTGAATGAAAAGGAGAAGCTCAAGGTTGCCATCATCGGGCTTTGCGGCGAAGCGTTACAGTGGTTCAAATGTGAACACAGGTGGCTACCATTTCGTGACTGGCAAGAATTGAAGACTTGGCTGCTTCGAAATTCAGGGAGGTGGCTACCAAATAAGAAGGAAAGGAGTGAGAAATCTCCGGAATTATTAGAGAAAGAATCCATTAGGGCAGTGGTGGAAGTGGCGGTCAACCAAGCGATGGCAACGGAAAGGGAGAGGGGGGCTGAGGAGAAGAAAGGCCATCTGGAATCCAAACCCTCGGCCGAGCAAGGCGTTGCAATTGTGGGCACGGAGAGGAAGGGTGAGGAAGGTTTTACAGATAAACCAACTGAAGTTGTTTTCTGACGGTGCTTTGGTGTCCGTGAAGGGCAAGCTGGAGTCACCGGCGAATCTGGTGGTGGACGGTGGACCTGATGGGCGAGGTGAGTTAACTGGTGGGGTATTCTGTACTAGTGATTTTGGTGGTGAGGTGAGTGTTTTCGAAGGTGGCCATGGTGGTGGTTTCACAAGCAAACCCACCAAAGTTTCATTTGAGGGAAGCGGAGATGGCCGAAGAAGGTCTGAAATTGAATTTTCACCACTAAGGGTCGCAAGGAAGGTTGGTGATTTCTCTAGTGGATTTGCCGGTGGGGGTCACGGTGGAGTCGATGTCGAATATGGGGTGATTCTTTGGACTGTGCGAAGGGCTGAGGTTGATGTGTTTGAAGGCGATAGAATAGGAGGATGTTTCGAAAAGGGTGGTGCCAATAGTAGTGGATCCGGTGGTGGTCCAGGAGTTTTGGCTGGAAAAGATAAGCGCGGTGATAAGACCACCGCTTGTGGTGGCCTGAACGAGAGAAGGTTATGGCTGGGTGAAGGGCGGATCAGGTGCAAGCGAGTCCGGTGGTGGACTTCATGGACGTGCTGGTGGGTTGACAGGTGGATTGATATGTGCTAGTGATTGTGGTGGTGGAGTGAACGATTTTGAAGGTGGCTTTTGGGGTGGGTTCATATGCAAACCAACCAAGTTTTTGTTTAAGCAAAGATGGTCGAGGCGGGCTAGGTGGTGAAACCGAGTCGCCGCCAATGATGGCGATAAGAAGAGGCGGTGACTTCTCCGGTGGTTTTACCGGCGGTGGCCCAGGTAAGTTCGTGCAACAGACTAGCGTAGGATAACAATAATAAAGCCGAAAGGTTGATGTTTGATTACTAAGCTCAAAGCTTTCAAAAGATAAACATGGCTTTAGGCCATTACTCTCCAAGTGTTTTCTCACAATTTTCTGAATGAATTTCTCTTGCTAGGCTACTCCAAAATTATACTACAACCACCACATAAAAATGGCAACTAAGCCTTAATTAATACATGTACTACTATTGTCATATTACTACTTTAAGCTAGTCTAACAAAATACTAAAGCTGCTGCTGTCCCCTCTACTCTTCTGCTCCTCCAACGGTGTTGTTGTTGTTGTGTTGCTTTTGTTTCTGCCTTCTGCTGTACACAAGAGTCATGGGTGGTGGTGGGTTAGGATGTATTGCAATACCGCCCCCCAAAAGAGCCACCTTGTCCTCAAGGTGGAAGTCCGGGAATCGCTTCTTAATTGTCTCGACATCCTCCCATGTGGACTCAAAGTCAGGAACTCCGAGCCACTTGATCAATGCCTCCAATCTACCCTTAGCCCCCTGCATTCGTCGCAACTCTAGCACAGCCTCGGGTTCAACCACTAGCTCTAGCTCCGGCGTATCTGAGTTGGTATAGTAGGAGAACTAGGAACCTCACCAATTGCGCGCTTCAATTGAGATATGTGGAAGACAGGATGGATACGGCAATGGTCAGGTAATTGAAGCTTGTACGCCACCTTCCCCACGCGTTGTATCACCTCATAAGGCCCATAGAATCGAGCCGCCAGTTTTTCGAATGGCCTCCTTGCCAATGACCTCTGCGGATATGGCTACAATTTTAAGAACACGAAATCCCCTACCTGGAACTCCTCATCCCTCCTCTTCAAGTCAGCGTTCCGTTTCATAATATACTGTGCGCGCACCTTGTTCTTCAACTCATCTAACATCAAATCGCGCTCCTTCAAAATCTCTTCTACTGTATCCACCGCAGTCTGCCCTGCTCCTACCTTGAGCAACTTGGGAGGCGACCTGCCATAAACTGCCATGAAGGGAGTGATTTGGGTCGAAGATTGTGGAGTGATATTATAGGAGTATTCGGCCCAATGAAGCCACTTGGCCCAATGTCTTGGTTGTTCCCCCGCAAAGCAACGAAGATACGTCTCCAACCTCTTGTTAACCACCTCAGTTTGGCCGTCCGTTTGAGGGTAGTACGAAGTACTCTTCTTCAATTCCGTACCCTGCATACGAAAAAGCTCACGCCAGAAATACTCAAAAATATCCGGTCACAGTCAGAAACAATACTCGCCGGAACCCCGTGTAACCTTACGACCTCCTTAGCAAACACCTCCGCCACCCCATAAGCCGTAAAAGGGTGCTTGAGCCCAATGAAATGAGCGTACTTCGACAAACGGTCCACCACGACTAGGATCGTATCAATTCCCTTCGACTTCGATAGCCCCTCTATGAAATCCATACTTATGTCCTCCTAAATTCGCTCCGGACACGGCAACGGCTGGAGTAACCCCGCCGGCGATTTTTGAGAATGTTTATTCCGCTGGCAAACCGCACAGCTTCGCACATAATCGGCCACCTCACGCCTCATTCCGGCCCAAAACCAATCGGCCCCAATTTTGAGGTAAGTCTTTGTTTCCCCGGTGTGACCCCCTTCTGGCGAATCATGATATACTCGGAGTAAAGATTGCTTCAAACTGGAATTCCGTGGCAACACTATTCGGCCCTTGTACATGAGGCGATCCCCCTCCACCGTATACCCACGACCTTCTCTCCCCTGGCTCCACCTCTGTTTTCAGCCGCTGAATTTCAGTGTCACTTGCTACTTCTTCCCTCGTGATCAAAGCCCCCATCTCACTTTCGCCTTCATCCCCGCCCCTTCTAGACAAGGCGTCCGCCACTTTGTTTGCTACCCCGGGTTTGTATTGGAGTTCAAAGTCGAACCCGATCAATTTGCGAACCCACTTTTGGTACTCCATACCAATTTCTCGCTGTTGCGTTATGTATTTGAGGCTTTGTTGGTCACTTCTTATCACGAAACGCCTCCCCAATAAGTAATGCTTCCACTTTTCCACCGCCAAACACACGGCCATGAGTTCTTTCTCGTAAATTGACTTACTCCGCCCTCGCGGGCCCAACACCTTGCTAAAGAACGCCACATGCCTCCCTTCTTGCATCAAAATTGCCCCTAAACCGTACCCCGATGCATCCGATTCAACAATGAACAATTTAGAGAAATTGGGCATACCCGAAACCATGGCAGACTTGAGTGCTCGGAAGGCCTCATCCGCCTCCTTCGACCACCCAAAATTGTCTTTCTTGAGTGGATCAGTGAGGGGTCGGGCAATATGAGCATATTGGCGAATGAAGAAACCCCCTTTAATCCCTTAAGGATTTGGGAGTGGGCCACTTGAGCATTGAGCCCACTTTCTCATGATCCACGGCCACGCCATCACTAGAAATTATGTGGCCCAAGTATGCCACTCTTTCTTTGCCAAACTCACATTTTTTATAATTAGCAAACAACACATGTTTCTTAAGAATAGCAAGCACTAATTGAATATGCGTTTCATGCTCATGCGCACTACCACTATATACTAATATGTCATCAAAAAATACAAGCACAAACTTACGTAAGTAAGGTCGAAATACCTCATTCATCAAGGATTGGAAAGAAAGTCGCCGGTGCATTCGTAAGACCGAAAGGCATCACGAGAAACTCGTAGTGGCCTTCATGGGTGCGGAAGGCGGTCTTATGTGTGTCCTCCGGTCGTACTAGAATTTGGTGATAGCCGGCTTTAAGGTCCAATTTCGAAAACACCCGGGCTCCATGCAACTCATCAAGTAACTCATCAATCACCGGTATTGGGTATTTATCGGGCACGATTTCTTTGTTTAATGCCCGATAATCTACTCAAAACCTACAAGACCCATCTTTCTTTTTAACCAAGAGCACGGGGCTTGAGAAAGGACTTGTTGAGGGTCTAATTATCCCGGCCGCGAGCATTTCCCCAATAAGCTTTTCGATTTCATCTTTTTGGAATTGGGGGTATCGGTACGGCCGGACACTCATGGGATTACTCCCCTCCTCGAGTACAATAGCATGTTCGTGACCTCGATTTGGTGGCAATCCCTTGGGGTCCGAAAAGACTTCTTCATATTCTGCCTCCGGTGCCTCCAGCGTCACCAATTCGCCGGCTTCCCCGGCCTCATCTTCCTCAACTAACAACACACTCAACCCCTTAGTCGCGCACACGTGGGTGGGGCCGGTCCACCGCCCATCACAGCGGAAGCATAGCCCCCTTGCCTTCTTATCAGCTATCTCCCTCTCCGTCAGCCGCCGCGCCGCCGCACCTCCCCGTTGAACCTGATGGTATTCGAGTGACTCTGATTGGCCATTGGCCGTAGAGTAGCTGGGTTTACTGGATGATTGGGTTAAAGGTGTTGGATTTGTTTGTGGCAAGGTTCGAATTGTGTTTGGGTGGGAATTGTAAGGAGTTGTGTTTAGGCTGGAAGCTAGGCTGTGGATATTAGAGTTTTGGGCTGGCCAGTCCCCAGCAAGGTGGAAACGGGGCTTTTGTTAAAATACGAATGGGTCCGGGTCCGGGTGAGGCTCCACCTGATTTTCGCGGGTTGTTAACCCGATTCCTCTCTTCAACCCGAATGGCTAGATCCATAGCGTCTTCCAGGGTCAACGGGTTGAGCATCCGGATCTCAGCTCTTATCTCCTACTTTAAGCCATTCACAAACTGTCCTTTCATCAAGCTCTTCGGTACATCCATTAATGGTGACGCTTTCTCGATGAACGTCCGCCGATACTCCACCACCGAGGTGGTTTGCACCACCGCCAACCACTGCTCATGCAGCGTACCCGCGTTCACCGGTCGGAACTGTACTAACACGCGCCCTTTTAAATCCTCCCATCCTTCGAGGGGTCGCCGCCGACTTTCCCACTGATACCACCGCAAGGCATCGCCACCACAGCGCCTTGAAGTTTCTCAACCTCCGTCAATTGGTAAAATTGAAAATACTGCTCGCTTCGGAGTATCCACCCGTCGGGGTCGGATCCGTCGAATACTGGCATATCGAGTTTGCGAAACTTCCAATTTCCCCGATTTTCGCGGTTCTCGTTGTGATACCTGTATTGCCCATTAGCTCCCGGCTCCCACGACCCTAGCCGGAGTCCGTTAAATCCCCCTAATCCCATCAGCGTCTCGTTAAATCCCCCTAACCCCATATCGAAGCGATTCATCTTGCCTTCTAGTGACTGTCTTACTTTGTCAATGAACTCGTCCTGCCTCTTCAACAACGTCTGTTGAAGGGAATTCTCTCCGTCCCCGAGTTTCTCACACATCTCTTCCATTCTTTCCTCTAACGCCGCCACTCGCTCCGGCGTCACCGTCAAGGCCGTCGACGGCATGGTGGCTCTGATACCAAATGCAACGGACTAGTGTAGGATAACAATAATAAAGCCGAAAGGTTGATGTTTGATTACTAAGCTCAAAGCTTTCAAAAGATAAACATGGCTTTAGGCCATTACTCTCCAAGCGTTTTCTCACAATTTTCTGAATGAATTTCTCTTGCTAGGCTACTCCAAAATTATACTACAACCACCACATAAAAATGGCAACTAAGCCTTAATTAATACATGTACTACTATTGGCATATTACTACTTTAAGCTAGTCCAACAAAATACTGAAGCTGCTGCTGTCCCCTCTACTCTTCTGCTCCTCCAACGGTGTTGTTGTTGTTGTGTTGCTTTTGCTTTTGCCTTCTGCTGTACACAAGAGTCACGGGTGGTGGTGGGTTAGGATGTATTGCAGTTCGCCGGTGGAAATGGAGACAGGCGGTACACAAGAAGGGGTGGTGCTTTCGCCGGTGGTTTTACCGGCAGCTTGTGTTTGGCCGGAGGTGGAGCAGAAGGCATGTTTCAAGGAGAGTGGTTATTTGGTGGGGTCTTCAAGAATGCAGGAGCAGCTTTTGGCAGAAGAGCTTTTGGCAGAAGGTTGACTGGAATTTTCTTTGCCTTGTGGAAGAAGCCAATTATACAAGATGGGGTTAGTAAGGGCAAATTGGTCAATGGGCTGAAGGCTACTAGCATAAACAAACTCTGGCTGCTGGTGCCACGTGCATATAAGGGAAGAAAAGAGCTACAGGCTAATCCAATTCAATTTGATAAAGCCATGCAAATTATTGGGCCCACTTACCCTTCATATTTTGGGCTTGTTAACTATAGGTCTATCCATCCAACATCAGTTATGAAACCCAACTCTTATAACCTCACATATTCAAGCCAAATTTCACATCCTTCATCAACCTTGACAGATCATTGCTGTCGCCGAGAATCGAGTATTATCCACCTTGAGGACAAGGTGGAAGTTTAGGGGGCCGATAATGTAATAGACTAACACTAACAAGGGTAGTTTGGGAATTGTAGTACTTTTAGGTTAGTAGCCCTCATTCCTAACTAAGCCTTAGTATAAATAAGGGATAGTATATGCATTTGCTATCATGTGAATTATGAGGAAAAATGTTGAGAGTAGTAACCTCAAGTTACTAGGAGAGTGATAACCTAAAGTTATCAAGAGAGTGATAGCCTTAAGCTATTAATCTATCCTTTTGTATCTGATTTCAGCCATTATTAATCAAAGTATCAAGCTTTTATCTCTTAATTAGTCTTTAAATCAGAAAATACTAAGTCAGTCCATAAAAGTACTGTTGCCAGATTTCCCAATTATTGAAAACAATTATTTTGTATTAAATTTTAAAAGTCCGTGGTTGATGTATTAATGTCCTTCTATCATGTTTTGCAGAATCTTGAGTGTGCCAAAAATTTGGTGATTGATAAAAGCATACAAACAGCATATATCCAGGCAATCAGATCTGCACAGCGCTTTATATATATTGAAAATCAGTATTTTATCGGATCATCTTATGGATGGCCTTCTTACAAAAATGCAGGTCAGGCAGACACTCTTGTTATTCTGTGGTGTTATTTACATGTGCCATATGTATTAGTCTAACAATTGCAGGGGTGGGCAAGCTTCTTTTGTAAGAGTTTAGTGAACTTTTATCTTTTTTAAAGTATTTAGGTACTCTCAGGATAGAAATAGCTACTAAGGGCTGGTTTAGTTCACCTTATTTTGTTTAACTGATGTTATTTGATCTGGTCTAATTGTTTGATTGACCAAACTTTGATCTGATGTGTTTGATAATCTATAAAGAAAGAATGTATCATGTTGGATCATGTTAGATTCGTATTAATGTATATTTTATTATTATTATAATATTTTTAATTACATAATTAAAGATATTTAGCAATAAAAAGCTACACATAAAATGATAAAGTACGTCAAAATTTATTTCTCTTGATCATATCTTATTTGAACTTATTTTTTCTGATTTGAACTTATTTTTTCAAATATGATATGAAATAAGTAAAAATAAGGTGAATTAAACATGGCCTAAATGGTCACTTGTTTTCATTGCCTTTTGTTCCTATTAGACAACTTTCATATTATTGTAAGACGTTGGAGTTAATGAAGTAGCTGATGGGTTGTTGAAGTTTTTTTTTTAATTTTTTTTATTTTTTTAAAGCTATGACCCTTAGAAGGTTGCTGATGTTCCTCTGTATCTTGTCATAATTAGGTGCTGATAATATGATCCCTATGGAGTTGGCTTTAAAAATTGTCAGTAAAATTAGAGCCAAGGAAAGATTTGCGGTGTATATTATCATACCAATGTGGCCAGAAGGTGATCCAAAGTCTGCTGCTGTGCAAGAAATTCTTTATTGGCAGGTTAGGAGGAATTACGATTTTACAAAGCCTTTTGATCTTAAATGCATGCTGTAACCGTTTCCCTGGAATGTAGTAATATTTGTAAATTTTTTTAAAAATAAGACCTCACTGTCCAGGATCATGTATCCTTTTTTTAATTGAGATCTAATAAATTTTGTCCTTTTGGCTCCATTCCTTCATGTGAAATTCTCTTTTTATCGGATGTAATAAATTCATTTTCTTGATTTCCTTCTAGGCAAAATGAAATTAAGGACTGTTGTAGTGCATTTATGTTAAGATTTGTGTTGTTTTCCTCACAGAGTCAGACGATGCAAATGATGTATGAAGTTGTTGCTCGTGAACTGAAAACAATGCAGCTAACAGATTTGCGTCTTCAAGATTATCTAAATTTCTATTGCCTTGGTAATCGAGAAGAAGTTCCTGAGGAGTCTCTGAAGGAAGCAGAGCAATCAAGTGACAAGGTTGGTGTTCTTTTCTATCTTGTTTCCTTGTCCTTATGTTGGAACTTAAACTTGAGGACTACAGTTGAGTTTAACTGGAAATGGTTACATTGCAAATATCTTGATTCTCAACTCACTAGCTCCTAATAGATTTTGTATGAAATAAGAGGTTCAAATTTTAAAACTCTATAGGTACATGTATAGAATAATTATATAAGGATTGCTTCTGATTCATGGAGTTTCACCATGTTTTAACCAGCACGATGTTAAGCTTGATTTCTATTTAATGTGGCATGTCTATGGGCTCTGTTTTAAAGTTGCAAGGCTGTTGCTGCTCTATGGAGCATATGCTTTGTTTCTTATGGCATAAAATTGGCATGGTTTTCTTAACAGCCAAATGCTGATGGTAGGCATAATGAAGCTGATTATGTGTTCCCTAACAACATGATTCTATCAGATTTCAGATTCATACAAATACCGCAGATTTATGATCTATGTACATGCAAAGGGAATGATTGTTGATGATGAGTATGTTTTAATGGGATCTGCTAACATCAACCAACGATCTTTAGCTGGTACTAAAGACACAGAAATTGCTATGGGTGCTTATCAACCCCATCATACTTGGGCTAACAAGAAAAGGCACCCTAAAGGCCAGGTTTGCTTGCATATCCTTACTGTGCATTCTTTTCCTCTAAAAGCTATTTTTGTTGATCTTTTGAGCTTAGGCATTTGCTCTCCCTCTCCTAATTGTCCTGACTGTTCCATTCACCTGGCCATCTGTTTCTCAGCATTTTTGAATATTTACCTGTGTTCTAATATACTAGTAATTGCATGCGAGGCTTATGTATGAAATGTTATAGCTTTAACAAGAATTGTTAAGCCTAAAGATATTGTTTTACTACTACTAAATGTTTAGATATTGGTTTTAGCTTCTGTTGTAAGGATTGGAGTTTCTAAATAGATTACAAGTTTACAACAGTGGAAAAATAAACGAATCAATTATGTTGTGGCACAGTTGGATTGTATTCTTTTTGGTTTACACGTCTGGCATTTTAACATCTGCAATGACCACAACCCATACTTTTAGATCAGCTCTGTTATTTTGTGTGTTTCCTTATAATAGCCTACTAAATCATTTAAGCTAATGTTTTGCAGGTGTACGGTTATAGATCATCGTTGTGGGCTGAGCATCTTGGGATGCTAAATGAGTGTTTTGATGAACCGGAAAGTGTAGAATGTGTGAGAAAAGTAAATGAGATTGCTGAAGATAACTGGAAGAGATTTACAGAAGAAAGTTTCACATTGTTGCAGGGCCACCTTCTTAAGTACCCATTGCAGGTGGATGATGATGGTAAAGTCGAATCCTTGCCCAATCAAGATACTTTCCCTGATCTCGGAGGCAAAATACTTGGTGTTCCTTCCAACACGCTCCCTGACGTCCTTACTACGTAAACTCCAAGGTTAGGTTATCTTGGCAAAGTACCTGGTGGGAGATTATGGCGGACAAAAAATCAAACATTGAAGCAACTGCTGTATCTTTTGCACAGCTTTATTTAAATTATATTTATTTTGTTTATTCAATTTTAAATTTTTGTTGTATTTCTAACTTTCTTTTGGTAATTTGTTAATTGACAAATTGTAAATGCAGCATTTGAATGATATGATGGTAGATTTGCGTTTGTACTTGGTGAAATGTAATGGTTGATTACTTCAGCATAGACCTGACAAATGGGTCATTCGGATTGAGTATGGGTCGGGTCATTTCGGGTCGGGTCAAGTTCGGGTCAAAAGATTATCGGGTCAACACTTCGGGTCGAGTTCGGGTCGGGTCAATTTTCGGGTCCAATTTTCAGGTCAACTTCGGGTCGGGTTAACTTTTAGTCGAGTCATGTATATTCGGGTGATTCATTGGGTTAAATTCAACTCTGTATATATATTTATTTATTTATTGACGAAAAACTCACTATGGTTACTTTTTTCATGGATTATAGTAATTGTTTGACTTTTATTAAACTTTTTTTTTTTTTTTTTTTTTTTTTTTTTTTTTTTTTGTGTTGTAAGAGGGATGCTCTAACTAATTGAGTTATACCTCACTCTCTTATTGATCTTAGTTTTAATACGTACTCTTATTATCATTGTCATTGTTGTAATAATTTCTTTAAATTATTCTTATACCCCCTTCGTCCCAAATTACTCTTAACGATTTGACATTTTACACTATTCACACATCTCACTTTGACCATCTTTTTTAGCTATTATATGAAAGTCAACGTAGTCATGTAATATGTTGTTGGGTCTATTTTAATGTATAATTTCCTAATATAAACTTTTTATAACTTATATAATTATTTACTAAAAGAAGTTAAAGGTCGGGTCATTTTCGGGTCGGGTTAACTTCGAGTCTCGGGTCAACTTCGGGTCAGGTCGTTTCGGGTCTCGGATCAACTTTGGGTCAGGTCATCTCGGGTTGGGTCGTTTCGGGTTGTGTCATTTCGAGTTTCGGGTCCAGGTCGGGTCAGTTCTACTTCGGGTCGGGTATGGGTCAGGTCGGGATAATTCGGGTTTTGGGTCAATTTCGGATCATTGGTTTCGGGTCGATTTCGGGTCATGGGTTGGGTCATTCGGGTCGGGTCATTAGGTCTAGGTCAGGATATATTCTCTTTCAAATGTAGGAAAGTTTGTATGGAAAAAAAAAGAAAAAAAAGGACTGAGTCAGTCTTGTTCATACAATGCTTGTTTGGAAGGACGACTAAGGTCAATTGCTCGATTTTTACTCCGTTAATATTCATGTTCTGAAATATGTTACGAAGTAACTTAAGGTAATTAAAGGGTATTTCCCGTTAAAAGAAAAAAGAGAAGAAAAAAAAAAGGAAATTTCTAAAATATAGTTCTACGGTTCTTGTTATTCGCAATTTTTGCCATTTTTAGATGATTTAAATGACTTGCAACTTTTGTTTTTCTTTCCTTTTATGATAAGTTTTTAGGGTTAAATTTACTATTTTACCCTTATTTTTTTTAATCAACCTTATTAAACTACAAATTTGATTATATAAATCAAACCCTAACCTTAATTAAATTACTCTCATACCCAATTATTTTTTTCTATCTCCTCCAACCCCATTCTCAAGGTACATTCTTCATCGTTAGTGGTTCTTCATCGTCAAGGTTCGTCGAGGTTCCAGATCGTCGGGGTTCATTGGTTAGCTGAGGTCGGTGAGTTGTTGCGGAGGGTTTGGTGAGTTGTGTCTTAGATCGGAGGGTTTGGTGGGTTGTGGGTTCGGGGATCGTCGGTGCTAGATATGTGGGTTTAGGTGTCATCGGTTGCGGCTTACTTCGGTGGGTTTGGGGGTCGTGGGTTTGATGGTCATGGGATCGTCGGTGTTGTGTGTGGTTGTGGCTGAGATCGTTGACTTAGGTGGGTCGTGGTTTGGTGGTTGCTGGTTAGTAGGTTCAGCGGTGCTAGGTTCGGTGGTTGTTGGGTTCGTCGTTGCTTGGGTCGCTGAGGACGAGGGTTGTCAGTGTTGGGTTTGCTGGGTTCGAAGGTAGGTGGTGGTGGCGGCCTGGTGGGTGGTTTATGTACAACTAGGTGTTGCTGCTGGTGGTGGGTTATTTTTTTAAATTTGGTTGAATTTGTTATTTTTTTTTAAAGTTGGATTAATACTTAAGTATATACTCTTATCTTTCAATAAGCATGCTTAGGGTCTTTTGCCTATAGCCCGCAATGCCTCTGAAAGGATAGTAGTTGATTTGTAGTTTATCATAATTATAAATAAAAAAAAATATAGTCTTAGTAGAGTTTGTGAATACTGAATAGTGTAAAAAATACTGAATAGTGTAAAAAAAAGTGTTAACTATGAGCACTCACATCATTGAGGAGAAAAGTGTACATGAGAAAAAAATAAGGGTGTAATAAAAAAAACAAATAACCTACACTAATGCGAAGAAATAATTCTCCTCATGGGGAGAAATAATTCTCCTCATAGAATGAGGAGAAATGTGGGTGAACAGTAGCGTGGTGGGCCCCACTCCTACACTGATATGCGTTTTTTTTGGTATTCCCACACCAACACTAGTAGAAAATATGTAATGGAAAGCGGTTCAAACCCCCTAATAGGAAGCAGTTCTGAACCGCATGCCCTTAGGGGGCTTGCCAATTGGTCTTTAAATAGGCAAGCGGTTTAGAACCGCTTGCCAATTGTAGTGAAAGGGCAGCGGTTTTGGCGCCAAACCGCTGCTCATTAGGGGTATTAATTTTTTTTTTGGTTTTTTTTCATTTAAATTGATACATAATCAAAACATATGTAAAAACATTAATATTTTTATTAATTAATTGTTGTAATATTACATTTTCTGATTTTCAACAAAAAAAAATTAACAAAAAAAATTGATACTAATTCTTATTTCATCTCTTATCAATTTATCAATAATAAATTAATCACCACCACCCCACACCACCAGCCGCCACCCTACACCACCAACCAACAGCCACCAGCACCACTCCACACCACCAGCATCACGACCCCCAACCACTCACCCACCACGACCCCCACCCAAACCACGACCCCCACCCACCAAAACCAGATCCCCACCCACCAAAAAAACCCTCATCGAAACCACGATCCCACCCAAACCACGACCCCCACCCACCAAAACCAAATACCCACCCACCAAAAAAACCCTCACCGAAACCACGACCCCCACCCACGACCCTAACCCAAACCACAACCCCCACCCACTAAAACCAGACCCCCCACTGTAGACACCCAAATACGTCTCCCCAAAACCAATGATGAATACCTTTCATGTCATTTGATTATCGAACATAGCGAAAGTGTGAACAGTCTAGTGATGAGGATGTTTTTATTTAAATTTCTCTTCTTTCGGTTTTTTGAAAATATTTCTTTTCTTAATCTATTTATGAAAAACGTGCATTATATTTTATTTTGGTCCATTATATAAGTCCAATAATAGTGTAGTTGGATGGTGCTTGAAAAGACCTTTCCAACGATATATTATAAGCCCAATTGCGATGAATAATGAGGAAGTTATGGCCAAAATACTAAACTTGGCTCGGTTTGGTTCTTACATACGGCCCGATGATCTAGAGGAGAGCCTATTATTAATTATCATTCCTAAATCTATTAGGATTTATTATAGTCTTCTATAATACTCTAGAATGTTCTCTTAAATCCTAATGGAGTTAGGATTGATAATTATGTTTCAAAGAGTTTGAAATTGAATAAAACTACTCCTTTTGAGAATCATTGTTTTGTAAGAAATGGAATATATTCAGATATTACTTTTTTGCCTCATAATATTTATCCAAATTTTATATGGTTGGATAGTCTTGAAATTATCTTTCCAATGATATATTATAATATTAATTCCGTGCTATAACGAAAAAGATATGAATGGAATACAAAACTCTATCCAAAACTGACACCCTTCCATTATTTCAGCTATATCTTTTTATTTAAAGAATAGTTTTATATGATATTAATTGGGTTGGAAAGTAGACTTCAAGAGCTTTCCAACGACATATTATATGCCTTTTTTGGACTTCTAAATTAAAAGATATGATAAAACAAAATCCGCAAAAACTGTCTTGTAGCGCCAAACGACAGACCCTGTCGCTGGCGAAAAAAGCGTGTTTTATTCCTTTTCGAACTCTGATTCTTTTTTATCAATTCCGGACTATTTTCTTATAAATAGGGTCCCTGGACCTCCGTTTTTTAATAACCAGAATTCTCTAATTCTCTTCTCTCTTTCTAAGCTAAAGCTTATTCTCTCTCTCTCTTTCTAACCTAGCCTTTTACAAACAAAATTCCTCATACATTAGCACTAGACACACCTAGCCAATTTCAAAGTTGCCTTCGCCCTAGATGTAAAAGGTTTGATATTTTTGAGGGTTTGGTCCTAGATCTTTCTTTCAATTATTTAATTTAATTGTTTGATTTATTATTTTCCTGGAAGTTACTAACGTGTGTATTTTATTATTATAAAGAGATACAAGGCATCCAATTAAGTGCTTTAATTGATCTTATGATATAGAAATCATGCTTAGGTTATTATTTTGATTCCTAGTATCATGTTAGGATGTTTTTCTTAGTATCATGTTTAGGGTAATTTCTAATATCAAGTATGATTGTTATGATGCTTCCTATTTTTTTTTTTCTAATATCATGTTAGTATCATGTTAGAGTTAAAGCTTTGATCTTTGATGTTTAGTGACTTGCTAGGGTTTGTTATTAATTTTGTTAGTATCATGCCTAGGGTCTTGCTATATTATGCTTTAATATGATTATTTTAATGATAATTATCATGTTGCTTGGTATATTTATTGTTATTGTTTGATCACACCTTTTATGCATGTTTGAAGGGAATTTGTATTTGTAATCACGCTTAATAAGATAATTAATAATCTTGTTTAGGGTTAATTTGATTATAATTCAAGTGGTCGCCAATGATAGTTTTATTTGTGCATTAATATTCAACCAACATAGATTAAACAGGTTTAGGGTAAACCTATTGATTGCATGTTAGTCAGAAAGAACACATGAATACGAGAAGAATAAAGTAGATGCCTATTACTAGGGCAGGTTCTTTCTCTTTTAGATTGGATTTGTACCTTCATCCCCGAACTTCCAGTCATGGTTCCTGACCTATTGGAGTTAACGATCTCATGGATCGTTAAGGGG